AAAATTGAAGCATCGGGTTTTAATAAAATTGGAAGCAAGTGTGGTCTGATTTACTCTTTCATTTTGGAGAACAGTGTAGGAGGTTCGGTAAGGCTTGGGGTGTGTATAGCGTGGGTACCACTGTAAAAGCGTAGGCGTTACGTGGGCGTTACTTTGTGCCTGCTTCGCTTCAAAGCTCTTAAAATTTACATCGGTGCCTCTGTTACGTAATGGTGTTTTTGTGTAGACATAACAGATTTAGCGAACCTTTCGAGGTCAATAATTTCAAGAATAATTGGAATTAACTCGAATATCTGACGCTTATACTTGAAATTATCGGAGAATTCTTGCAGGTATAAATATCGCGACTCAAATCCAACTTTATAATATCACATTCTTAAATACCATTATTCAGATTAGTGTTCATGTTGGTCTAAGTTTAAAATTTATAAAAGTGACTGAACTTTACCTGTCTGCAAAAGTAGCCGTAGCTCTCTTGCACCTGCGTCATTGTCTTCTATAAAATATTCAGACTTGATTCGACGGCTCGCTTGCCCTGCCTTTTACACGCGATGCTGGTCTAAACATAGCCTGTAATAGCGGTACATCACATTTACATTTTAAACATATTCACTTCATCATCATTTCAAAATTCTCCGCTGTGGACTCACTCGTAGCGAAGAGAAAATGTGGTATGTAACAATAATCTCGCTTCATTCTGTTACATAATTATAAAGTTTAAGCCATAACAAGCGAATGCTAAAAAAATCTCCCTAATCTTTGTCTGAAGTTAATAGTTTCGGTCTCTTCACTTAGGTTGTTTGCCTTCATTTGTTCAGCAGACTGACCGATATTATATCCTACATGAACAATGTTACTCTAAGAAGTGCGGATGTGCGCATGTCTAACCTATATAAATTGCATTAACCCGAAATTCCTCATTGTTGCGGAAGTTGGTAAACTTGAGGATAAAATAATCGTTGGTTTAACCTTAACCTCAGACGGCGGCCTCAAATGTCCGTGTTGATGTTTCAAATTAATTTCAAGCAGTACAATTTGAATGGGGCGTTTCTGCTTCTAAATCTTTTTGGATTGACTGTGAACAGCTGGATTAGACAAAGGGCCGTATGAGCACTATTCTTAGTAACTAAATACATATTTTAAGCTACGGCAGTAGCTAAATATACCTTTATAACAAGCTTAAGGAAGAAATACCTTATGGGCTTAGGGACAGTATCACATTTCAAGTGACCCTGTCCAATACTTAACCTTAGTTATTTAACCTTCGGCTCAACACGTGGCTGACACGTTCGAATATACATAGGTACTGGACCTACCTGCTTATTTGTCTTTAAATATTCAATCCAAATATAAATCACCGAAGAGGTATATATTCATAAAAAATATTTTCAACAGTTTCGGCTGATACCAACAGATCCAATTAGATAAAACAAAGTCTATACCAAAATTGATTTTGTTTGTTGTTTATTTCATTAAGCCTGAAGAAACAAACATTGTTATTTTGTTATCGTTGATAACGTTAGACAAGTTTTATTTGCGTAAGAATGGATATACATATTAATAGAAATCATTGTGACGCTATCTCTATTATTATTAGTATTTAACATTAGTGTTCGCAAGGACTAAATAAGTAGATTCTATTTGCTAAACCTTTAATAAAATTAAATAAACGATTGACATGGTATTTTAAAGTTTAACGCTGTTGCTATTCGTGGTTTCGAAATGTAACAATACTTACAGGTGTATAGTGACGCCCGATATTTCTAATAAAGTAAACATTTCCAAGAAAGTTAAAAGACTGACACTGCAGTAATTTAGGATCGTGGTAAGGTAAAGAGGCCAGTCGATGATATACATATAGTAGGGAAAAACAAGACCCTATTTATTGTTTTATATGAACAACGCCACCTTAGCCACACAAAACCCGAGGAAATGAGAAAGGAGAAAACCCGGCCAACGAAAGCGCGGTCCTGCGGACGGCAAGTAAGGGTAGCTCGCCGCCCGACCAAATCCAGACCCGAGCGTACGGCGCGAAGCGTTCCGCGCTCGCTTCTAAGAGCCAGTAGACCACCACAGACGGGGCCCTGCAGGGCTGTTGTTAAGTGGTTTCCGGGTAAGCGCAATGTAGCATCGCGGCCTCGGCCTCACACAGGAGAAGGTACGGGGTCGTTTTTAGTCCGTAAAATTCTGACACTTTCTTGCCTTACCTTGGGCAAAAGAAGTCATTTGATGATTTCCTCCTGACAAAGGAAGCCACACTAAAGTACTGCATCTCTTGTAAACCAAGGACTGCAGAAGGTACCTAGCAGAAAGCAAATGTTGCAGTCATCTTTCCGTATAACGGAAAGATAAAATATCTTGCCAGATCTTTTATTCCGTTATTTTCTAATCTCCTATTTGTTTATCTAAGATGATTGACAAATCGTTTTCACAGGAAACGTTTATCGATGTTCTATTCCTGGATTTTCCTGATCCATCCATTTTGTTAAAAGTCCCAAGTAAATTCGATATAATAAGTTTGTTTCCGTCTGCGCAGAATTAACAAGACCTTCAGCTATTTTCGATTAAATTTAATCGTTGATCGTTATAAATGTTCTATTTCGAGACATAAACCCAATAGCATATAGCAGGTATAAACAAAAGAATGAAAATACTGCTTATTTCTGGAGGCGGGTTTACATACAATCGTTAGGAAGCGTGTCACCATGCAAACTGCCCGTTTAAAAATCAATGCATGTACGTGTATGACATGCCGTCTTCGGTTTTGTATTTGACAATCAGACGATGCTATCAGATCATCTGATATTAGATACATAAATTGTATTGCTACGTTTCATATATATTGTGTAATCTTAATTAAATATTCTATTGTGGTTTAAAAACAAAATCGTCAAGGTTTGTAAAAAGAAACGGTCTTAAAGTATTGAATAATTAAATGGCGTTCTTGCAGGCTTCTCGCGAATGAACACTTTCATTGTATGCTGTGTGATCGTTCCCTGTTTTGGTAGGAACAATTCTTTTCCGTAGATATGGTTGCGTGTTAATTTTAGGGCATCGAATATACCTAAGTACTTGAGACTGATCGTGACACATACTTCTTGGAAAATTATAGTTTTCGCAACAAATACGGCGAAGTCGTAACAATGAAGAAATACTTTAGCGATAATAAAATAATTTATGAAATTTTATTCTTACTTTGTACCTCCTTACATTCTTTTTGTCACGAATTTACGCATATACTTCTGGGAAAGTTTAATTTTGTCTAACTAGTGTTTGAGCTAAGAATGAGTCGTTTGTAGCGTGTGGACACACTTTAATTAGCACTGCGGGGTATACCTTGGCAAAATGCCATTGCGTTTGAGGGAATTCACCCGCCTTTGAATTTTACACAGCAGTGTTTTGTAAGAATTGCAATTTCTCGAGACTGCTGACTCAGAGGCGGCTTTTGTTTTATTAAGTATCAAATAAATCTTTATTTAAGCTGCTAGGGATATTTACAGCAAGCAGCAATTTTTAGCAAATTATAATTACTAATACGACCTATTTTTTTATAAACAAGAAAATGAATCGATTTATGGATTAAAGATTAATGATAGAAAACGTGGGAAAAAACTTTAAACCTAGCTTACGTGAGTTTGGCCGTGAACAGTGTATGTTATCGTCCATTCTTCTAATGCCCGATACCTTTTACGTAAGTAAGTACATATACAATACTTTAGTAACTCAATTAAAACATTGTTTATTGTGTTTCTGTCTCTTTTTTTCTGTCGGATTTAGGTGCTACTGAGATTATATGATACTTTCGTTGGTTGGTCATTCATGATGTCATTTTGATAAGGGCGTTGTTACGTATAGTTTGCACGCGATCTATATTTGGTTTTCCGCCGATAAGGTGAAGGTTAATGAGATATTTGCCGGTTTATGTGATAAATTGAATAATTCTTGTTTTTGTATTAAACAAACGTTGCCTATAGCAATAGCAACGCAACAAAGGTTTCTTGATTCAAATCTTAGTCAGTTAGGTTATTAGGTTCTTCGTTAATCCTTTTTACTTACCTTTTAACTGGCAGACATTACAAAATCTTTTACCATCCAACCTTTTTTTTGTCAGGGGAAAATCATCAAATGACTTCTCCCGCCCAGGGCTAGGCGAGAGAGACTGTCAGACTCTTACTGACTAAAAACCCCCCCGTTCCTTCTCCTGCTCTGGGCCGAGGCCGCGGTGACTAATTCCGCTTAACCCGCAACCCCAGCTGATTATATTATCCATCCCTAAGGATATAAAATACAGATATATAAATACATATACCTAATGTTATGCTTTGTTATCACAGTCTATGATTTGTAGTGGAAATTTTAACCACTTAATCCTTGTTGAATCGGCCGTTATCATTGTTATGGTGGAGATAATACTTACAATCTTAGCTGAGCTAATAGGTTGTATTGTGAAATTTAAGATCCTATAGCGTGTGCTAATACCAGGTGAAGGATTTACCGCTTCTTCAATATTTGCTTAGTTGCACATAACATTTTAACTACCTCCATACAGTGTCGGAAAATATTTGTTGATGGTAAACTAAGTTTTCTAAAAGTTGTTTTAACGCACTTGCATAATCGTATTGTACATAGTACAGTTTCATTGGAATATTATCGGTAGGGTTGGATCCACAAATCACGAAAATCTTAGCTTATTTCGTAGGCATTGTTGGTAACATTTTTTATGAAAGAGATACAAAAAAATGCATAGGTATAGGCGGTCATTTTTGTATTGTTTGTTAATGAGATTACATTTTAGGTAAATCACTAATCGTCTTAACAAAGTGACGTCATAAATACCTATACAAAAGCAATCAATCAAGGAGCGCAATAATACAATAAGACGGACAAAGTCTTGCAAGTTACACTTGCAATATTACACAGAAAAGTACATACAGTCGTTATCTTATCTGTTAAGTAATGTGGCCAGTAATCTGTGCTCTAGAGAGGTATTGTAAACCATACGATGTTGGTGTCAGGTGCGCGACGGACGTCGTACCCCGGCGCGGGAGCACATAGCTCCGATCTAAACTTTTCGAGTGCAAACTCTTCCCAATTTGAGGAGGTAAGAAAATGTTTTCAAAGCTAGGTACTGTAAAAAAGGGTTGTGAGGCAAGAGAAGAAATGTTTTGCTAATGATAGTACTTGATTAAATAAATAATTTTTAATTTATTATTATTAAAATTTTCCTTATATTTGTTGTTATGACGTGGTGCTATGAAATTTAAGTGCAATAGTTTTAGTTTGTTAGATCTGGGAATAATTTTCAATTTTCATCAAAATAGTCTTTGTTTTTATAAAAATAAATTCTTATAGGTACAATGAAATTCAACAAAGCACCTACAATTTGTTTAGGATAACATTTATGATTCCATTGTTATCAAGTCAGACGAAATGTCATTTCGAAGCGGGCTTACACAAAGGCTTCATAAAGGAAAGGGTTGGCTCACTGACAGATAACGTCAGGCTAATTATTGTGAGTTGACCTTTATCATTATAGAAAGCGTTTTATCATTTAAATGGTCTTATTCAGGACAACTAGATTGAAAGGGCTGAAGTCAATCGCTTTGTTGTTGACGTACCCGTATGTATGCATTTGTGCTTAGCTTTGAGAACTAGAACACAAGTGAGTTTAATTGCACCGTATCTTTGAAATGCAAGTTGATTGAGCTGATAGTGTAATCAAACTGCCATTCATTTTCCACGTCAAATCAAAGTGGATCTTGCAATGAAAGCTGTCTACAACAACGTTATGTTCTGCATAATTTAGTAGCTTCATTTTTACTATCATAAAAGATATTGGTAAACAAGTTATTGATAAATCAACCAGATCCTACCAGTTTATCGCAGTTATACAAACAATAACATGTTTTACATAGAACTTGAAAATTGTTTTGATTTGCAAAACACAAAATTCTTGAATGTTTAATTAAAATCAAGACAGGTTTCGACGTCGTCTGGTACTCAGTAAATAATCTCCATTTAAACTTTATTAATGAAAACAGTTTCTAAGTTATTATTTCTGGCTTCATATAATTGAAGGGGACTATAAATTCGTCTTGTTTCGAGTTCTTTCATTAACTGATACGTTAAGTGGTCCTTATGCGCTTCCATTTGCGTCTGACCGGACTGATATGAGACAACGTCAATGAACCATGATTGTTCAAATGTTCGAAGTAATTCTGCTACTACGTTTTCTAGTTATTGAGCTCAATTTGTAGCCCCAAAAGGTTCATTTTTTTTCTTCATAAATTTTCCATCAGTACCTATAAGATTATCTTACTGTTAGTAAAGTCAATAGGTAAAATCTGTAGTCTTTCTTATGTCAAACGTAATACTGGATTGTTGAACCATCTGTGATTTAATGTTAGAGTGTGTGAGCAGAAAATATAACTTACAGACATGCAATTGTACCTAGTGTGTATGCTTTCCATACTTATTGTCGAACTGATTGAGATAGACTAGATCAGACTAAATTCTGGTGAATATCATGCCAAGGAAATATTATTTCTGTCTGGCTTGTATTGGTTTTTCATATACATTTAATGTACGAATTAGCAAATGAAAGCTTCCTGGTAGTTTGCGTTCCGTAGAGATAAAAATATCGTGTTATAAGTAGTTCTGGAATCGATGCCATGCGTATGCGAGTTCTAATGCGTAGTTGCGTTTAAATCAAACATCTGTTTATTATATTATTAGTCTTAATGTGACGGATCCAAATTGAGATTCAGTATAAAACAAGGTGCAAACACAGTTTGGGATTTGCAATTTGAATTTTTGAGGCTTAAATACATTTTCAGAAAATCTGGTTTTGTTATGTTTACTTTATTCCGTTTTAACACATGCTATCCTCCGAGACGGAGTTATTATTATTTTATTGCGTCAGTATCTGGCGCCAGATCGAGAAGATAAACTTTTGCAAATTTAAACCTCATATTTGTAAGTGGTCAATGGCAGTTTCTGTATCTGTATTTAGACTATTTTGCTAGTTAGCCTCCTTAGCATCTTTAGATGTTGACTTATCTACTGAACGCGGATACTCTTACATCACAAGACTCTAACTTGAACTGTAAATATCAAATGGACTAGTTTTATGTTCTATGAATATCAATGAAATATGGCGAATTTTCCCTGCTTGTGTCCTAGAGTAATGTCAATAATGAAGATCTGTATTTTTTTTTGCATTTTGTCAACATTGTATTTAGCAGGTAGACAAGTGTTGTTTTATGTCCACACCACAAGATAAATATGGTACTTATGATTTTAATGGTAAATGATGATAGCTTTATTTCTGAGAAATTGACTTGTGTGTAGTTTGTAATTTAAATTCACACAGTATTTTTGCTACGTTCTCACGGGTTCATTCCCATATTATCTAGATTGTCGGATGTTTTTGTTACTTTTGTTAGCTTCGTTAAGCAGTTCAGCCGCCATTTTACTGTTACTTGCAACCAGGGGCTTAAATCATAGCTTGTTTGGCAATATTTCCGACACATGGAAAATTACTTGTTTGATGAATCGTCAGTTAGTTATCTATTTAAAATACATGAATAACAATAGCTTATTGTAGATCATTCATTATGCGATGTTTGATGAATAATAAACACCCAAGTGGTTGCATTCAAATAGACAGAAACTTAAACATATTAAATGTGTCTGCAGTTGCGTTGCGTTACATCGGTGACCGGAACAAACAGTAGCTTTTCCGTTGTAATCAGTATATTGTCATGTTGCAGGGGTCAAATGGGGTTCGTTTACACGGCACGGTAGTGGTCGGACAGGTACCTCCAGACGGGCTCCCGTGGCGAGACAATGCCGTCCCCCGCGGTTCCGGCTAGGTCGGGTATCCCTCGCGTCGATGTGTGCGACCTCTGTTTACAGATACGGCACACAGCGACTTGCTGCGCAACATTGATTCGTGGTTCGCGCTTCGCCCGCTATCGTCTCAGTCACTAGTGCGCAACGCCACGAGAAACAAGTGTTCGTGCTTCGCAGCGCTACTTTATTTTTGCGTTAATTTTTTTTTTGTGCAAGTCTGCGCTTCGACAAAGGGAACCTGTTTTAAATTGCCCGTGTATTCTTTGGTGAACACGAAAGAGCGGAATATAATTTCTAATCTGTGTTATATCGCTTGGCTCTACCTAGTTCGGTTCCTGTGTGTTGAGTAATATTCTGTGTCAGTTGTAGTGGTTGTGCTTGTGATAGAGTTGGACAATTTTATCGCGAACGTGTTCCAAATTGGGATTTCACCACGAGCGGGCTCAAGGAAGTTTATAGTCAAGTGAGTTAATGACGACATACACGCGACTAAAACTGTCATTTAGTTGTGGTTGTGTTTTGACTTTCTTTTTCTTATTAGGTTTGAATTTGCTTAAAAATGAATATGCAAATTTAGAAGGCGTTGAGACCTCTGTGCATAGCGTCTATTCATAATGCAAGCAGCGATAATCCTCTAGTTGAATAAATGTTGTTAAAGTAGAAGAACAAGTAGACGTTGTGTGGTGATCGCGTGATAGCACCGCTCGCTTTGCGTCGCGCCACCACCACGTCCAACGTCATTGTCCCACTACACGCTCTAGAGCGCCACTTATCTCGAACGGTGACGGTGTACTTGTAAACGAATCAATTGGTTTCATGGTTAAAATTTGGTTTAAAAAGTAATACGATCGTTCATACATTTGATAAACTTGCGTTTAAATAAAATAGTTTCTAGAGGAGTAGTCAAAACAAATATGCCTTGTGATTGTGTACTATGTGTATGTTTTATGAGTAAACAGATGCTTCATCCTAGTGTCTATTGATTCAAATGTGCTCTTGATTTAGGTATTTCCGCTCCGATACAATCTATTTGTTAATTTCGTTGGTAATATTTCTATCTATGTACTAAAATGAAATGTTTATATCCAAGTATGCAAAGTGAAGCTAATCCATATGTCTATAATGTTATTCATTCAGCTCCGTCTCACCAAATATTTGCTGTTTTTGTTCTCTCACATTCGTATTAGTATAACGTGTTCTGATAAACGAGTTCTTACGAATTTTCATATAGTTTCTTTATCACATACAAATATTGTTTTTAGGTTCTTAGTTTAAACAAAGTTGTTTTGCAGTTTTCTTAAATAGTATAGAGATTTTTATGGTACACCTGCACCTTATACTCTGGTCTGATATTTGATTTTCTAGAAAGAACAAACTGAAACAATTAACCCAATAATATGATGACGTACAAGTTGAATAGTTCAATTGAAGAGCCTTGTTTTGTTTAAGGACTAATAAAGTAATGAGTGATACTAAGTATGAATATTGTATCATCGTTTGTTTGTTTTCAATATGATGCTTAGGTATAAAGCAGTAGGTAGTTGCTTGGCGGCTTTTGTATGGCCTTATAATGTATTTTTTATCATTTTCATTACAATTTTCCTGTTCACAAGCATAATAAACTACACCTCGAATCACTGTTTCCATGCAAAAATTGCCTCATGTCGACTTCGTGAAGATTTTAGATTATCTGCCAAATAGTATACCTCTATAAAATTTTGGTTTGTATTATTTAAGTATATGAACTAAAGCAAGGATCGTCTTCATTGGTTGCACAGCTATGTGTAAGTAGTTGGTCTGTAAATATTTCACCACATTTTAAATGGACGATTCAGTTATTTCAGATATTGTGTCGTTCTTGTGGTCTTGTCTGGGCGTTATCTTCTATACGTATAACTTTTCATTCATGTATCCGCCCCCTAGCAACAACTAATACTTAGCATGAAAAATATCAATACAAATGAATATAATGAAGTGACCAAAAGGGTAGACCTATAATTGTCGAAGAATACACCGAATTGGTTTTTTGTTTGAAGTGCCCGTTATGAGCAGGGCAAAAATTTAGCTAAAGAAGAATTCGATACATTTACAGGGAATACCACAAAATTACATGTGAAACTAAGGCGGACTAGGTACTAGTTTGATTGAGTGTTGATATATAATTCGTTAATAATGTCTTTAATTTTTTTTATTCGACTAGCGTTTACCATTTCCCTCATAACGAAAAACTTACTATCTTCATAACTG